GAACCCTGGGACCCTACAGGGGGTACTGCTCCAATGTGGACCCACGAGTGGCCAATGTCTTCACCCTGGCCTTCCGCTTTGGCCACACCATGCTCCAGCCCTTCATGTTCCGCTTGGACAGACAGTACCGGGCCTCTGCACCCAACTCGCACGTCCCACTTAGCTCTGCCTTCTTTGCCAGCTGGCGGATCGTGTATGAAGGTGACCAGGTTTTCCAGGGGAAGGGTGGGGAGCATGCCCTCCCCTAGGTGGGACAAGCTTACTGCCAGGAAGCCAGACTGCTGCAGAGGCCACTGCTAAAATCTCCCCAGGACAGTGGAAACAAGGCAGGTGCCAGCAAGACCCTCAGTCACAGGCCTCCCATCCTCTGTGGAATGAGAGGATTTTTTAAAGGGGTGGAGGCTAATGTCAGATTGATGGGGAGCTCACCTTCCACTCAAGAAGTGTCTCCCAGCTCCAGCTGCTTCCTGCCTCTCCAGAGCTCTGTTTCCTGACAAACATTACTGAACATACCCAGCTGGCTTGTCCAGCTCCGGGCTAGTTTGGCATCATATGATAACCCAAGTAGCTTCCCAGAGGCTGGTCCAATCTGTGCTGCTCACATTCCCTGCCACCAGGTGGCATCGACCCCATCCTCCGGGGACTCATGGCCACCCCTGCCAAGCTGAACCGTCAGGATGCCATGTTAGTGGATGAACTCCGGGACCGGCTGTTTCGGCAAGTGAGGAGGATCGGGCTGGACCTGGCAGCTCTCAACATGCAACGAAGCCGGGACCATGGCCTTCCAGGTGAGGGCGCTGTCCGCCTCTTCTCCCAGCTTTGCTCAGGCCAGGCTGCTCAAGGGGTCTGGGAAGACCCTAGTACCTCCCTTCTGACTGGGACTATCTATAGGATGTTCAGGGGTGCAAAGCCATGCAAGGCCAAGGTTGATTTCCCAAAGCACCCCTGGAACACCGCTTGTTGTCCTGCCATGGTTCCCCATCCACTGTAGGGGCTCCAGCTTTAGGTCCACCACAGGACCAGGACTTAGGCCCAGGAGCTGAAAAAGGGAGGCTTGAACTTTCCAAGTAGAAAAAAACGCAATAGGCTTCAAAGGCAGGGAAGAACTGCTCCATTCCCAACACTCCGGCAAGTTCCAAGGAGGAAGGCTAAAATTTCGGAGCTACAGAAACGTTCCTTGCTCTAAGTGGAGAAAGGCAAAGAGTCTTAGAGGCAGGGAATAGGTGGAATAAAACTAAGGCTGCAGTGACTGTTTGGTGAGGGCACAAATGACTTTATCCCAGGAAAGAAGAAAATGTAGGCACTTTGTTAGTCACTTTCATGTACATTAATTTGTTTTCCCAATCACCTTGAGAAGCAATGATTACAGTCATTTTATAGATGAGGAACTATGTTCAGAGACAGCTAGTAACTTGCCCAAGGTCACATAAATAAGAAGTAGTAAAATCTGAATTTAAATTTACAATTTCTCCTTTCTTCCCCCGGTTCAACCCCAGTAGGGGAAGGCTTTGGCCACTGCCTTGCTCCTCTCTCCTTCCCGCCTCCTACCTCCCTGTCTAGAAAGAACCTGAAGGCCCATGTGCCCATGTGTGAAGCAGTGGTGGCACCTCCTACTGCCCACCCCACTTCACACGGCACCTGGTAGAGCACAGCAGGCACTCGAGAAACCTGAGCTTCTTTCCTTCCTTAAACTTGGGTGCTCTTGGCAGCTAAGGAGCTGTGGGCGCTCCCTGCTGGAGAGCTGAGATCGCTAGCCACCCAAGTTTCCACACTGCGAGTTTCTGCTCCCCGCAATAGCTGTGCCCTCCAGAAATATTATCCTGACACTAGCTCTTACAATCTCCTCTAATCCCTTCCCAAGTCCAACATCAAACTGGGAACTGGACAACCTGGTTTGAGCTCCACTGAACAGTAAAGTGACCCTGAAGTCCATGGTTGCTCAACTTTAGTAAACATAGTAGATATAGTTAGCATGCCATAAAAGTACCTCACAAAGGTGCTGTGAGGGTCCTGAGATATTCACCCAACAGTGCTCAGTATGGTAAAACCCTGTGTGGTTTTCATGTGTTCCGCTGGGGGATGGTGCGTGTGAGTTGTGGTTCAATGGATGATGTTGGGCTGGTGTCCCTTTGGGACATGGCCAAGCTATCTCCTACCTTGATTGTCACATCTTATGATGTGGCTTGGTCCTGTGTGGGATCCTGATGGCTGACAAATTGGTACGGCTGGTCTTTGGAAGTTTCTGAAAACTTTTTAAAAACTGCTTTATTGAGATACACCATAAAATTCACCCATATGAAATGGACAATTCAATGATTTTAGTGTATTTAGAGTTATGCAGCCATCACCATGATCTAATATCACATCATTTCCACCACTCCCCAAAGAAACCTTGTAAGAACAGTCAATCCCCAGCCCGACCCCAGCCCCAATCACCTCTTAATTTACTTTGTGTCTCTATATTGGCCTATGCAGGACCTCTCATATCAAAGGAATCATAGTGTGCCGTCCTTTTCTGAGTAGATGAATTTTATCCACGCTCTCCATTTGTTGGTTTGTTCATTCATTTATTCTTTCACTCATTCATTCATTCTACAAACCTGATGGAGAGTCTTTTATGTTCTGGGTACCGTCTTACTTGTGTCTAATGAATGCACTCGAGCCCAGTAATAATATCATTAAGTGTTGGATTTGTGGTTACGTGTTTTGGGTTAAAACAGCTTTTTAGGTTAGGACACACTCCTTAGTCTGATGCACACTGAGCACGGTTGTCCACTCACATTTTCAATCAGAGGACAGAAACCTGGTCTTTGGAAGGTTTAGGGCCTCTTCTGCCAGCAGGATCTTCTGGGTCTGCCCAACATTGACTGGCCACAGCTTCCTCCCAGAGGACTGGTGGAGAGAAGCAGAAGCTAATGGGAAGTCAGCAACACTGCAGTTGCTTCTCCCCGTTCCCCTGCAGGGTACAATGCTTGGAGGCGCTTCTGTGGGCTCTCCCAGCCCCGGAATTTGGCACAGCTTAGCCGGGTGCTGAAAAACCAGGACTTGGCAAGGAAGTTCCTGAATCTGTATGGAACACCTGACAACATTGACATCTGGATTGGGGCCATCGCTGAGCCTCTTTTGCCGGGGGCTCGAGTGGGGCCTCTTCTGGCTTGTCTGTTCGAGAACCAGTTCAGAAGAGCCCGAGACGGAGACAGGTAAGTGACCCTATCATAAAAGACATTAGCACCAGAGGCAGAGCGGAAAAACACTAGCATTTCAAGACTAAACATTGAAGATCACTGCTCTTTTTAATATCATTTCTTCCAAGTTCACAGGATCTGAAATCAGGAGGCTCTTCTCTGGAAAGCTGGGTTAAAGGAAGAGAGACACTGACCCAGGCAAGGCCCACATTGCCTGAGCCAGAGTCATCTTAAACCCAGGAGGTAGCCTGGCAGCCTCGCTGTTCTGGGTTGGTAGATCCCAGAAAACATGAGCAGAAAGGGCGAAATCTGGTTTCCCTCCAATATGTTTGTGATTTAAGACCTTTGGAGTTGGTATTGCCTGAGTTCAAATCCAGCCCTGGCCACTTAAATTACTGTGCACTGAATACTGGGCAATTTATTTGGCCACTGAATTTGTTTCATTTCTAAGATTCCAATCTTGCAGGAATTTTGTGAGAACTGAATGGAATAATATATGTAAAGTGCCTGGCACACAACAGGTGCTCATGACAAGGTAATTCCTCCCCAACCTTCACCCACATCTCTTGACTGCCTGGTAGGTTCTGGTGGCAGAAACGAGGGGTTTTCACCAAAAGACAGCGCAAGGCCCTGAGCAGAATTTCCTTGTCTCGAATTATATGTGACAATACCGGTATCACCATGGTTTCAAGGGACATCTTCAGAGCCAACATCTATCCCCGGGGCTTTGTGAGCTGCAGCCGTATCCCCAGGTTGAACCTGTCAGCCTGGCGGGGGAAATGAGGCTTCTGCAGGTAAGGGGAGGCCACCTCCAGCACCCTGGGCTGGGTTAGGCCCTCATATCCTTCCCTGGATGGATGGCTGAGTCCTCTTAGGTCTCTAAGCAGAGAAAACAGAACTTGTCACGAGGGATACAGTACTCTTTCCAAGTGGCTTCCCAATGTACTAGCTTCTGGACTGACAGTCAATCCCAGGCCCTAGGACTTCGGCGAGGAAATTAGGAGCATCCAACTATCCTCAGTTTGGTCACTAATACCCCAAAACAGCTCCATTTCTAAATGTCCAGTAAATTCCTCACTTATCCATTCTGTTACTTCCACAGGAGTCTATCCCAAGCCTCCAACTTTTGGAGACAAGGAGAAGGGGAGGGCCATAAAGCTGCCTTGTCCCCCTGGAGCAACTGCCGCCTGCTGACGCTTCTGCTGGCTACAGCTCAGAGCTGGGTTCCCCAGCCGGGAGTGAGAGCTGGGGGCTCCTAGCAGCAATGGACCTTCCCGCCGTGGGAGTCTCTTAGGTATTAGGTTATGAATCAGTGCCACGTGCAAAGGCTTGGGAGCTAAGCTATGTGGTCTTGCACCCCAGGCAAGAAAAGTCAGCTGGAGGGTTTACAGCACTTTCTACTGTTTCCCAGCCCTCCCTCCCCTCCCTCACCGTGACTGAGAGACCACTCAGTCCTAGCCTGCAGAGACCCCACAGTCCTCCTCTGAGCCTGAGGCTGGGCAGCATGCTCTGCTTCTACCAATAAAGCACTGCTAAGGGCAGGGGCTGCTGTTTCTGTGTGGGGCTAGGGAGGACGTGGCCTCAGTTCCATGCTTTGCTCCAGGTGTTGCAGAGAAGTGCTGCTAACACGCACGCTGGCACAACCATCTAAGCCTCTCCTGGGGGCTGAATTAGGAGAGCCCAAAGAAACACTGTGGAGCAGGGAAAGGCAGAAAAGGGGAAGGGCAGACATGGGAGGGCCCTGACATTAAGAAGAACACCCCAGCCATACCAAGCCATACCAGCAACCTGAGCAGACAAACAGCCAGCGGAACATCAGTCAAAATAAAAGGGGTTTATGGAAAAAAACCCAAAAAACAAAAAGAACACAGTAAAAGATACCAACCAGCTAGCAGAAAGGACTCGGCACTGCCTTCAACCTTCACCTACTCAGAAATAACTCATATCTCAACCTCAGCAAGCCCCAAGGAGTAGAATGAGGCTGCCCTGGAAAGAGGAGGCTGAGACTCACAGGCTGGGGATTTAAGACCCCTCTCACCGTCCACCTTCCTTCCTTCTTTGGTCTTGCAAGAAGGAAGGCTCCATTTTTAAAGGCTGGAGAACAGCAGATCCCTGCATCCCCCTGCTACTGTGAGACAAGCCAGAAAAGTGAGTCAAGGCCACACTCACTATGGGGTCACCCCAAACAGCTTCAGACCAAAAAGCCTGCCTTGCTGTGATGCCCATTTACAGTGACTGCAAACATGAAGGGGGGGCCACAGGGTCTCTGGCTTTATTTCCACAGGGTAGGAAGAAGATCCTGCAGAAGGCTAGGCAGAGGGGCCAGCTGGGAATTTCCCAGCTCTTCCGGTTCTCAGCAGACCAGCGTGGTCTCTAATCAGACAGACGAAGAGGCAGGAGAGCACTGGCCTCAAACATCCCCCATCTTGTCCTCTTGCACTGTGGCCCAGGGCTGCTGTGAGCTAGGAGACCAGGGTTCCAGAGGGGCTCACTAGGTCCTGTGGGAGGCTTTCCCGGGCCTCCTGCATGCGGCGCCGGGCTCGACGGAAGGCCTCTGTAAGGAAAGGAGATATGGTATTTGGCTGCCAAACAGGCCCATGCTGACCCGGGGTGGCCAGCTTGGGGAGGGGACATACATACCCAGCACATTGTGAATGGAACTCTGCTGGCTAAACCCTTCCAGACGGTCCAACACACTCCGCATCCTTTTCCGAAGGGAGCTCGATTCCATGAAGGCCCTGCAGGGAAGCCAGCCACATGGTTACGGCTGTTCTCCACCCCTCAGGGATAAGGTGCCCCGAGGCAGAGGGCCAGGTCCCTCACCTGGACTGCTGCAGACAGTGCAAGCGGAAGGTGACGGTGCCTGTGGTCTCTGTGCGGAGTCCAAAGCGGCTCAGGCGTTCCCCCTGCGGCATGCCATTGGGAGAGCATCAGGTTTCCGCCATCTCTAGACACCCCCGCAGTATGCTGGCCTCGCCCCTGTTCTTATTCCCATTCTTAGAAAGCGCAGTTCTGTTGGGGAAACCTTATTCCATCACACAGACTCTATTACCTCAAGGCTAATACTGGGCTACTGGGCTCCCCCAACTACACCAGGGAACATTCCAACCTCATCTGAGAGGCAGCGGTCTTACACGCTTACTGTGAATCCTTCCCACATCTGATTACTGAGGCCTTCAGTGACGGGGGAAAGAAAGAGCCCGTTATTCTGATGGGGACCAAGGGAAATCGCTAACTATACTATTTTCCAGAGACCTCCTATGATAGCAGTGTAGATATTGGAACCTGGTTCAAAATGTGGTCCTGACTTCCAGCTTAAGCCATAGGAAGGAAGCGGCTAATATTGAAGCAATGCACAACTAAGGGGTGTTGACCCAGATCCCACCTCCTACAGAACAGAAGGACAGGACCATCAGTTCCCAGCATGAAGTCGCTCCAAAGACAAAAGTCACCTTGAAGGATCCTGGTATCCGCACATAGGAGAGGTCCTCCAGTTCCAGAGAACCGCCAATGAAAAACCTCCTGAGCTCAGCCACCATGCCAAGCTCCACAGGTCTCCATGTGGAGACTGTCAGGGTGTGTGAGCCTGCGCAAGGGAAGAGGAGACTGGGGCCGGGTCCAGGAAGGGCATGTGGCCCCTCACTGACTCCCCAGCAATGACACAGGCCTAGACTTCGCTAAAACACCTGGTCTGGTGATGACCTGGCCTCTGGTGAAGGTTATCATGGTTACCCATAGCACCTGTTTGGAAGTCAATCAGGGAGAAATTCAAATTTCTGCTCTGCCAGTTATTCCCTGCATACCCAGGACAGGTTTCTTAACCTCTCTGAAGTTCATTCTCCTCATCTAGTAAAATGGAAATAATACCACCTGCACCTCACAGAGTGGCTGGGAGAATTAAGTGAGAAGTATGGCACAATGCCTGGCACACAGTAGAAGACAGATGCTTTCATTCCAAACTGAATGCTGCTTCATTCAATACACACATGCTATGAGCCGATTTTGCCATACAGCTTCTCACCCTGAGTCCAATCAGAGGAGCACGAAGCACATGGCAAGACTGTCAGGAAGTCAGCGCCAAGGCCACGCTATTGTCTCTAGTGGAGTGGGGCAGACAGTCCTCAGAGGAGCAGGAACTCTTTCAAGCCAAATGCTTCTAATTCCCAGCTATCCCCACCCCTCACCAGAAGCATTCGAGTGTTAGTCTTGCTCGTAGGGCCTAGGGCATGTGAGCCACAGAAGGGCGGGGACAAGCAGTTACCTGGAGTGGCAGGCAGCACCACAGCCCCATAGCCTTCCACACGGTACCTCTGCCAGAAGTCCAGCGAGAGGACCTCACAGTAGAGCACAGGCCACTCCGGGAGTGCATCTGGGAGAAACGAGAGAAGCGGCCAGGTCACAGGCGGGCCTTCACCAAGACAGCACTGCTTGAGGGGAACCAAGGCCCAGGATCAACTGCTGAGCTACTCACCAGAAGATTCATCCTCATGGAGGAAGAAGGCTTCAAACGTGAATGGGTAGGAGAAGTGAGCCACCTTGTCCTATAAAAAGGAGTGTCATAGGGTGGGCAAGCCCTCCCTTGGAATTTGTTCTCCTTGTGGCCAATGACAAGGTTATCTTCACAAGGGAAAAAGAAAAATTATCACCCAGGTGGGAAATAGGAGTCTGAGATGCAAAGGGACACCCAAAGACAAGCTGCTGCCATGCTCAAAAAGGCAGAGAGGACCTCCGGGCCAGGTAGCCCTGCAGAACCCACATACAAGTCACCCAACTCAGAATCCTCCCCAGGGTGCACAGCACTTGGCCTGACAAAACCTCAAATGCCATCCCAGGAGCAGATCTCATTCCCTTCCAGATACCCGCTCTCATTCTCCATACCACTCCCAGGGACTTGGTGGTGCATGTCTGCGTTACTCCTGAGAGCTGCTGGAATGCTGGACTTGACCAGTCTGAAAGCCAAAGAACAAATATAGTAAGCTCACCTGGGAGGAAAGCAAGTCGTTCAGAAAAAGACAAAGTTTCTTTATTCATTTATTCACACAATCTATCATTCATTTATCATTTACTGAGGGCCTGCTATGTGCTAGTATATCTTAGGGGTATCTTGGTAACTAGATACAAAAGATCCCCATCTCTCATGGAGCTGACATTCTGGGGGAAGCAGGGAGACAAAAAACAAACCAACAAGAGACTATTGGGTAGTGATGAGTGCTCTATTCAAACAAAACGGGAAGGGACTGAGTGACTGGGAGGCTCATTTAGACCGGGTGGTAAGAGAAGGCCTTTCAGAAGCAACACAGGCTGAGACCTAAACTCAGAAAGAACCAGCCATGCTAAGATATGGCAGAAAGGGTTTCAGACAAAGGAAATGGCCCTTAAAAGGTTCTAAGGGGGGAATGAACCTGGCTGGGAAGAACGACTGAAATGTTGTACGGAAGAGATAGGCAGAGGCTCATTCAGGGTATTGAGTTTACATTTTATTCTAAGTGGGAGGGGAAGCTCTTGGGGGTTTTCAGCTCAAAAGGGACATAACTTGTTTACATTTTTTAAAACTCAACTTGGCTTTGGTGTCTGTGGCAAATGAACTGCAAATGGGAGCAAGGCAGGAAGCAGGGGGATAAGTCAGAAGTTGAATGCATTGGCCTAGACAAGAGACAGTGGTGGCTTGGTGTAGGGTGCTGGAGAGAACAGACAGGTTCACAACAGCTTTCGAAGACAGAACGCACAGGAACTGTTGACAGATTGGCTGGCTATAGGGAGCTAGGGAAAGTGAGGGATCAAGGATGTCCCCCTAGGTTTTTGGCATCAGCAACTCAGATACTGCCATTCTGTTAGGATGGGGAATACCAGGTAGGAGAGGTTTGAGGGAAGAGGAGGAATCCAGAGTTCTCTTTGATCATGTTAGACAGAAATGACAAAGAGGTAACTGGATACAAGTCTGGCGTCCAGGGGAAAGGTTAAGGCTGGAGGCAGAAACCTGGGAGTCTGAGACACATCGACGGTATTTAAGCCATGGGATGGATGAGGTCACCCAGGAAGACTGCAGACAGAGAGTAACAGAAGGCCTTGGCTTAGCCATGGGTACCCTCACGGTGTAAGATCAGCAGAAGAGAAGGCATTACCCAAGGAAGGTGAGGGGCCACCAGTGAGACAGGAGAGAGAATGTGGAGCCAGAAGCCAGAGAAGTGTGTCATGCAGCACAGTGGGCTCTGGCAAATGCTTCAGGAAGGTCAAGCGAGGTGAAAGCAGGAAAGTTCCCACTGGGTTTGGCAAAGTGGATGTGATCTACAACCTTGAAAAGAACAGTAACAGTTTCAGCAGAGGAGTGGGAAAGGAAGCCTGACCAAATGCCTCTACATCTGTCTGAATGGGTATAAAAGAGAGACTTAAGAATATTACTTACGAGTAGTTGGCAATTCCACAAAGAAGTGGACGTAGAGATTGTCATACTCATAGCCTTGGGCTGAAACTAAGAAAGAAAACAGGAAGCTATTTTAGCTTTTTATCCTACCACCCTTAGCACCCAACCCAGTCCTGAGGGTCCAACACACCCTGAGAGCAAGTCTTTTGAGGGCCAGGAACCCTCTGCATTTCCAGGAAAGACTCACCACTGAGTTTCCCAAGTACAGCAGACAAGGCCTCTACCAGGGTGGAGGAGACTATTCACAGCTACATCTAGGCACGTGCCTTAGCATCAAGAGATCTATGCTAGCAAGACACTTACCTACCTCTCCATTTACAAAGAGCCGGAGGGCACCTGGGACAGTCTAAGGTGAAGAGAAGTGGGAAAGGATCAGCAGGCCTGAAGGGAATTGGCACTTCTCCTCCAGCCCCATCTACAAATCTGCAGACAACCTGACACTGGGGGTCAGACCCTGGGTGTCGCTACTGCACTTTCTCCCCACTCTGACACTTCTCCACAGATCTGTTTCCTTCATTCCTAAGATACATAATGTAAGGGGAAAGTACATGATTTAAATGGCAGTAAGGACAATGCACTATGGGAAATTAGCCAGGCAACAACAACTGCCCTGTGGTGTGCAATAGGAAGCCAGAATGCCCGGTTCCCTTTACACAGCTGAGGTCAAGAAACCAGGGAGTTTCCTTTTTTAATTATTTGTGCATCTGTCTTATCTAACTTTTAAATACTGAATATCTGTTGCTTATGCAATATGGAAACAGTGAAGGTTAATTTTTCAGAGAAAGAGAGGGAGACCAGTAATTCTATCCTTGTTTCCAGGTCTAGCGATGGAACACTTAGAACGAGAAAAGACAAAGAACAGCACGACAGAATAGCTGAACTAAACCACTTTCTTTTTTTTTTCAGACAGGGTCTTGATCTGTTGTCCAGGCTGGAATGCAGGGGTGTGATCATAGCTCAGTGCAAACTCAAACTTCTGGGCTCAAGCAATCCTGCTGCCTCAGCATCATGCATAGCTGGGACTACAGGCATGTATCACCATGCCTTGCTAATTTTTTTTTTTTTTAATTTTTGTAGGGATGTGGTCTCACTATGTTGCCCAGGCTGGTCTCAAACTCCTGGCCTCAAGTGATCCTCCCACCTTGGTCTCACAAAGTGCTGGGATTATAGTCAGGAGCCACCACGTCAGGCCTATATTTTTTAAGAGCCAAAATATGTGACAAACAGAAATGGCACCCCTGCCTCTCTATGGGGTATTTTGAAAAAATATCCACATGAAAGGTGAAGAAGACATTTTTCATCCTTATATTTATTTTCTAAATTAATTATAAAGTAATACATAAATACATTACCACTGATAAAAATTCAAAACTACCTGAGTTTAGGGAATAAAAAGCAAAAATCCCTGATATATCCCTCTCACCACCCACTACCCATCTACCACATCTAATCCCACCCTCCCCAAAAAAGCCACCCACAGCATATGCGTAGCCTTTCAGGCCTTTTTCTCGGCATTAACAGTTCTCTATCAACATGCAATGCTGCAAAACACATAACGAGGACTATATGTGCTATTCTTTGACTTCCTTTTCACACCGTAGAGTATACCTTGGAGGCCTTTAAGAGAAGTGCTGTAACCCATCCACAGTCAGAATGCTCTGGCTAAACACAGCTCACAGTGCTGCAGGAAGCCAAGCTACTCACCATCTCAAAGTCAGTGCCTACGAGGCTGCTGAGATACTCCTTGTGCCGGCCATAAAGCTGAGGAAACAAACCAAACCAAAACTCAAGATGCAACCCAAGCTAGACCAAAGTTCAGTTCTGAACGGGAAGAAGAAGAAAAGCAATAGTGGGAAGGATCATCAAGAGCTGGAGGCACAAGCACCTGACCCACCGCCATTTTACTGTGAAGCAGAGGCCCTGCAGTCAGCTGGTCTGGGGCAGAATCCTGACTCTCGCGCTTACAAGCTATGTAACCTTGGGCAGACTACTTAGCTCCTCAATCTCGGTTTCCCCACTTATAAGGTAGTAATAAGAAAAGTGTTCACCTCAAAGGGTTGTTGTAAGGACTAAAGGAAATAAGGTATGTAAAGTACCTAGCACAGAACATGGTAAATGCTCAAATAAATGGTTATTGTTATTATTATAATATGATCAAAAACTTCTGATATGTCAGCAATGCTGCCTAAGTCAGAAGGGGCTATGAAGGGCAAGGCTTTTCCCAAGCAACTGCTGACATCAAGTCCAGAAACGGTCTCAGCTCCAGGCACTGAGGCTCATCCCTTCCACACTTGGAATGAACTCGCACTCACATCCTTGAACACACGCCGTTCCCGCTCCTCCTCCTCTGGCTGTGCGAGTGGGGAAACATTGTCGATCGTATATTTCCACAGCTCCTGCTTCTCTCCCTCCGTCTCGATCCTGTAAGGTCAAAGCCACAGAAAGGAGCGACTCTAATAATGAGAGATGGGCCTGGGGATAGCTCCCAGCCCAGGGAAAAGCGATCAGGGGCCATACACCTCACTTGAAGTATATGATGATAAAAATGGCTGTATTGATGATCAGGAAAGAGAAACAAAAGGATAAAGCAGTGAGGGCACCAGACTAGACTCAGACAGTATAGGTTCTGGGCCCATTTCTGGCCTGAAGTTATAGTCAAACCGTAAGGCACAACATTCCTGCCACCCAGTTCTTTCACCTGAAAAATGGACAGGTTGGTCCAGATAATTTCTAATTTATACTTCTGTCATTTTCAAGATACAGAGATGAGGAACAGTGAGCCCACAGGAAAAGCCTGGCTGAGTTCACCCCACTCTGTTCTGGTCAGGTCCTACATTCAGCAGCACGGAGAATCACTGTCACTTAAATGTATCACTGGAGTGATCCCTTTCAAATTGGTGCAGTTGCACATTTTCTGAGAAAGGAGTTCCCGGTTTCCTAAGGCCCATGACTTGGAACAGAATACGAACCATTGCCTGGGAATGTAAAAGTTAGAACGGATGAAGGACTTTCTGACAGTCTAGTTGACTAGGGACAAGAAGTGCAACCAAGGGAAGGAAAGTCAGTCTCCACTACCCCTTTCTTCCTCTCCTTACCTGTAGGGTCCTTTGAGGCCCGTGAAGTCAGGCTTTACTGTGATCACACCATTGCTATCCACCTTCAGAGTACACAGGACGTGTTCATACTTCTTATAGCCAAGCCTAGAAATCAGGAAAACACCAAGGTTGAGGTCAATGGTCCTCCAGGGAAAGAGGAAGAGACACTGAGCCCACTTCAGGGGAGAGAACAGAGGCTATAGGGAGAGCTGTCATGGTAAAACTTTCTTCCACGTACAACTAAGAAAAAAAGGAAGAAAAAGTCCTCCCTCTTCTTTAATACAGGATGATAAGAGGAAGGGGATAGCTGGTGAGAGGAGAAGAGGATGAGGATCTGAGGTGGCAGCGAGAAGTTTCACTCGCAACTAAGAACAAAACGAAGAAAAAGTCCCTCCCTCCCCTATAACCCAGGATGATAATAACAGGAAGGGGAGAGCTGGTGAGAGGAGAAAAGGATGAGGCTCTAAGCTGGCAGTGAGAAGCGCCACTCACTTTTTATAGGGCCCCAGGTCTGCCATGATGTGCATTGTCTGAAGAGGGGTGTTAATGACGTGGTTGTTCCTGACGAACTCTTCTGAGGGCTCCCAGGTGACAAGGCGTGACTTGAGGATGCCGCCCTCCCTGGGAGACACCGCAAAAAGGTCACTTCCTTGGCACACCCCAATGGAGCACACCCCAGTGGAGAGCCATGGCAGAATGGGAAGTTTGAGCTGGTGGACAAACTGCTTTGTTTTGTTTTTTAAGAGTCAAAATATTTGACAAACAGAAATGACATCCCTGCCCTCTCTCTGAGGCACTTTGGAAAAATGTCCACATGAAGAGTGAGGAAGACATTTTATATTTTTATTTATTTTTATTTATTTATTTTTTTTGAGATGGAGTTTTGCTCTTTTTGCCCAGCCTGGAGTGCAGTGATGCGATCTCGGCTCACCGCAACCTCCGCCTCCTGGGTTCAAGCGATTCTCCTGCCTCAGCCTCCCGAGTAGCTGGGATTACAGGCACGCGCCACCACGCCTGGCTAATTTTGTATTTTTAGTAGAGATGGGGTTTCTCCATGTTGGTCAGGCTGGTCTTGAACTCCCGACCTCAGGTGATCCACCTGCCTCGGCCTCCCAAAGTGCTGGGATTACAGGTGTGAGCCATTGCACCCGAGCATATTTATTTTTTAAATTAATCATAAAGTAATACTTGAATACTATATATAACCACTGATAAAAATGCAAAACTACACAACTTTAGGAAATAAAAAATAAAAGCTTGCCCCCCATCCCATGCCCGCACTCACATCCCTCGTCTGTCCTGCCGGCGCCGCCTGACGTTTGCCATTCGCTCAACCAAGAATGAAGGCACCTCGCTGGCTGCAGTGGTCATTCTCTGACAGTGCTGGGAAAAGCAAGTAGCCCTGCGTAAGCCATCTGGTCAGGGCCACATGGGGCCAAGTACCTGAAGGGAAGTCTTCCTTCTGAAACCTCATCCAGGACCTGAACCCTGCAGGTTCCGCCACCTCACAATTATACATGCTAACGGAGGAAGCAGTGGCCAAACAACCCAAAGAAGATTTCTACCACATCGTGGTGTGCCTTTGGATTTTAAAAATGAGTTATTTATGTTAATATTAAAATCAGTCTGCATTCTCTGAGCACAAACCAACAAAACGTTGGGTTAGTTTGCTTGGTAGATGTTGAAGTTAAACAAGGTGGTTAGAAAATGCCAAATGGGATACAAGTATTTTGTGGGAAATCCTCACATGGTAACTGAGCACTAACTGCATTTTCATTTGCTTTTCCAAAACAGACAACCCAAAGTTAATTTAATTGATATTATTTTTTAAAGAGACAGTGTCTCACCCAGGCTGCAGTGTGCAGTGCTGCTATCATAGCTCACTGCAACCTTCAACTCCTGGGCTCAAGTGATCCTCCCACCTCAGCTTCCCAAGGAGCCAGGACTACAGGTACATGCCACCATGACCAGCTAATGTTATCAATCCACAGGTCTGCTAATGAAAGCATGTCAATCTTTCAAAAACATTTATTGAATACCTGTTCCTTGCAGAGACCTACAGAGTCATAGAAAAAATAAAAAAAATAGGCTGTACCCTCAAGGAGTTTAAAATCTTACTGAGAAGACAGAAGCAACTGAAATGCAGTGATTGAAGAAAATGCAAAACAAGGTCACAAGGGTATTTTTGTCATTGGCAAATTGAGGACATAAGTCATTTTCCACAGCGATACTGAACTCTTCTTCAAACCCATATACTCAGAGTTTGGGCCAAATCCCCTGATGAATTTTATCTAGATTGTTCCAGACTCCACCACCTGTCTTTTTTCATGATGCATGGAGGAAGTCAAGCCCAATGGTTACTTCTCCCAGTATGCACTCTGCAAGTGTATAATCGGAGAACTGGCAGCTCCTCCAGGCCCTCCAGCAGGCAGAGAAGGGAGCAGCAGCCTCACCACCTGTAGACTGTGCCCATTCTATTGCAGGCTGGCTGCCAGCAGCAGCAGCTCACAGCAGTTCCTAGACAGGCTACCTGTCTCCCCTTACTAGGTTTCTGACATAACACAAGAATCCAGTGAGGCAAAAAAGCTAGAGGAAGCAAAGAGGGAAGCTATGAGACCCTGGAAAGAACAATACCTCCTCCAAATTGGTGTATCTATCAGAGTCAGTGTAGGTAAAGATTCGTCGGTTCTTCTTGCCACCTGAATTCTCCAGCTTCAGGATCTCCTGACGGTACTGATAATCCAAAGGACTCTGACAGGCTGCTTCATTTTGGTACAGATCTACTTCAAACTGAGGTTACCATAAGGAAACAGAGATGTACACATCATTATAATACAGCAAACTTTTGCTTCTGTAACTATTTAATCAAATCAGTTCTACAGAGCTGATGCTATCTGACACGTTTTCATAACCAACACTAAATTAATGGATGGCAGGGGAACCAAGAACATTAGCCCTAAAAGGAACCAGACTGATAGTCTAATCCAAATCTCTGATTACAGATGGCATATAGCCCAGAGATGAAAAGTGCCTCACCCAGAATCATAAAACTGAGTAGTGGCAATCCCTGTTACACTGCCCTTTAAACACAACAGGGCGAAGTATAAACCGTTACAACCTGTCTGGAAATCACTTTGGCAATATGTATCACCAGTCATGTGGAGGCAGACCAGGTGGAACAGACAGAGCAGACAAAAGACACTGGCTCACCTGGCTAAAGAGCTTCTCCTGCCACCCAATCACAATCTCCTCCTCTTCGTCTTCCTCTGGGCGGTGTCCACCTCCAAAGACAACAGAGTGAGTCAAATGCTTGAGCCGAACCAGCACCACTTCTTGCTCTGTGGTTGATTATAACCAGAGTTCCTATTCTTATATTTGCCACAAAAACCAGCTGGAATTCAGCAATTTATTAAGCACTCAACCTAGAGAAATGCTAGAGAGGCTGTATATAAGAGTTAGTATGAGTAGAAGCCAAGATTAGAACCCAAGAAGTCTTAATCACTACTCTAATTTGAGTAAAAGAAAATACCCTCCAGGAATTTTTTGGGGGGTGGGGGGGATGGAGTCTCACTCTGTCACCCAGGCTGGAGTGCAGTGGCACTGTTTCAGCTCACTGCAACCTCCGTCTCCTGGGTTTAACGATTCTCCTGCCTCAGCTTCCCAAGTAGCTGGGATTACAGGCACACGCCACCAACCTGGCAAATTTTTGTATTTTCAGTAGAGATGGGGTTTTGCCATGTTAGCCAGGCTGATCTTGAACTCCTGACTTCAGGTGATCCACCTGCCCTGGCCGCCCAGAGTGCTGGGATTACAGGTGTGGGCCACCGCGCCCAGCCTCCTCCAGGAAATATCTAATCTAACTGGATATAAGAAACTGAAATTTAGGGGCCGGGCGCGGTGGCTCAAGCCTGTAATCTCAGCACTTTGGGAGGCCGAGACGGGCAGATTACGAGGTCAGGAGATCGAGACCAGCCTGGCTAACACGGTGAAACCCCGTCTCTACTAAAAAATACAAAAAACTAGCCGGGCAAGGTGGCGGGCGCCTGTAGTCCCAGCTACTCGGGAGGCTGAGGCAGGAGAATGGCGTAGACCCGGGAGGCGGAGCTTGCAGTGAGCTGAGATCCGGCCACTGCACTCCAGCCTGGGCGACAGAGCGAGACTCCATCTCAAAAAGAAAAAAAAAAAAGAAACTGAAATTTAGATATAAGCTGAATAGCCAGCCCTTCCGCAGTCCAAACTGTCTGCGTTTGCTAGAAAATAACCCTGGCATTTTTATCTTTACTATTTCTAAAGCCATATATATAGTATCACAAACACTGAAATTTAGGAGGCCAAGTGTCAGGAGAGGACAGTGAAGGCAAATAAATGATTTTTTAACAGAACCAAATCTGGCTGGACGCAGTGACTCGCGCCTGTAATCTCAACATTTTGGGAGGCTAAGGTGGAAGGATCACTTGGGCCCAGGAGTCTGAGACCAGCCTGGACAACATAGCAAGACCTTTTCTCTACTAAAACTTTTAAAAAATCAGCCGAGTGTAATAGTGTGAGCCTGTAGTCCCAGCTACTTGGGAGGCTGAGGCAGGAGGATGGCTTGAGCCTGGGAGACCAAGGTTTACAGTGAGCTATGATCATACCACTGCACTCCAGCCTGAGTAACAGAATGAGATTCTGTCTCAAAACAAAACACAAACAAAAACAAAGAAAACAAATCTAATCTAATACACTCTTGGCTGGCTGAGTATGCCTTTTTCAGAGACACATGTTTCACAACCTGCAAGCCCACACTCTTGACCAGGAACAGCTCTGAACAGAAAGAGAAACAATAAAGGCAGACAGACTAGTGACCTGACACAACCACTCTGTCCTCTCCTCCTCATTCTTTCGGTTTCCCAGATAAGGAAAACCACAAGAATATAGTTGATCTTCATATGCACATTATATGTATATTTTTCAAGCAGTCCCCAGTTTAAAAATTGTTTTTTAAAGTGTTTATATGTGTATTTAGAGTTTGGGACACGTTTTCTCTTTTAAAAATGCCACAAATAGAATGTAGATTGCCAGGCAAATCTATAACGTATCAGAAGTATAGTACTTGTTATCTCACTACATTTGGTCACAATTCTGATTAGTATCAGAATTAGTAGTAGATGGCACATCATCACCATAACACCCACTGGCAGTTGGCTGAGGTCTAAAAGTGGCCAAGTCTATGAGGTCCTTCCAGAGCTCGGCAGCAGGCTGATAATGAAGAAAGTTGCTTGATGTGATTCTTTGCAGGTGAACCCTGTCAAGAAAAGCCCAAAATATTTGTTACCAGACACGCAACCAGGAGATGAACACAAAGCAAGGATTGGGGAAACAAAACGGAGGAGGTGGGGTTGCCAAGGTGTGCTGGGTGCAGACAACGGAGAGGAGGTGGGTGGGTGCGCGGCCCTATGGGGAAGACTGAGGGTGAGAGGGTGTACTGGGGACACAGGGCTCTGAGAAACTGGGAGCAACAAGGACGTGAATGGACTTGGGTGGGTCTGTAAGGGGTTCTTGGAGGCTGTGAGTGGATGGGGGTACTGACAGTGAAAGAAGTGGGGAGCCCGGAGAAGTGGTCGCGATTGTAAGCAGAAGTGGGGGCCTCGGAACACCGAGTTCAGGTTGGAATGATCTAAGGACATAAAACCATGGGGCCTCGGGGCTGGGGCGGTGTGACTACCGGAGGCGCAAGTTGCGCACGGGGTCCCGGGAGCGATACACTGCCTCCCCGGTGTCAGTGCTCCAGACGGTCTCCGCCATGACAACTGCGACGCGCCGCGACTGCGCCGGAAAGCGCGCCGCTCTGTTTTCCTGGCAACAGAGACTCTGGATCGGGAGGCGACGGAGGTGCTGCGCGCGCAACCCGCCGTTCTCGTCACGGCGCCACAGTCGCAGTAGGCCACCCAGTGCAAGTGCAGCCCAAGCCTAACGCCCAAGAGGGCTCCGGGGTCCTGCCAATCACCGCTTACCATGTATGCGAGAAAAGCTCACCCAAAGCGGGACCTCGTGCGCGGTGCAAATGAGGAAACTGGCACAGCCATCAGCCCACCTCATATAGCCAGATGCAGAAATGATGATGGAGACCAGGTGATCTGAGTCTTCGCCTTTTCCACCATGCCACAGTGCCTTCCACTGAACGCATGAAAACTTTGGCCTGAAAATCGGTGGATGTAACTGTAAGAAATGCACCCATTATTCCCAAAGGAGTCAGGGAAGGTGATGGCCCTTAGCCAAACAAGAAAATACATTCTTGGAGGACAAAAATGTGTGTCAGAAGATTTATTAGTCTTTGTGTTGATATTTACTGAACAAAGAAAGAAAAAACAAGGAAGTCAACAGTAAGGAAGGAAAAGATGTTATTATTGAACTAGTTCTTACCTTGTGTGTGTTAGTTTTGGATCATTAAACCACTTTAGATACTGCATGGGCTTCCTGAAAAGCCAAAAAAGTGACATTAAGAAGTCATGCTTCGTTGGACTAGCAAAGGAAGGAAGGACATGCTGTAACCTCACGTCTGGCGCCCTGGCGCCTTGGGAATGTCAACATTTATCAGGCTTTTTCACATCTGGTCCTCCTCCAACAAAGTAAGCAATTGTCCCCTGAACTCAGGAATCTCATGCCAGTTTGATGATTTGGCATTGGAAGCTCTGGGTGCCATAGCCACTCGTTGTGTAACACCAACTCACCATAAATAGCACCATTTATTTAGGATCTAGTACAGCTTCAGCACTTTGTTTTCATTGTCCCAAATCCTTGTAGAAGCCTCTCAAGAAGGTATTTTTGTTCACTTTAAGAGTGAAGTTCGTGAAGGCCAGGGTTTAAAGGACTTGCTAAACTTGGAAGTGGTGAAAGTACTAGGATTCCAGCCCAAGTTCTTCTGTCTTTTGAAGCCTAACCACCTTCCACTTTGCCTCATGGCTTCTCACCTACTAATTTATTCTATAAATGCACACATTTCTAACCTGGAAAATAATAATTTTAACAGATTAAAAAAAAGGCATCTTTCTAGCTCCTAAGAAATGGTCTCTCTAATGTTTCCTTCTGTGAGTAGGCAATCTGTGCCACATGCACAACAGCTGATAAAGTGGAGCTTGATTCTAGTTTAATTTTATAACCAAATCCAATGTACAACAAAGCTAATCTGACATAATTATATGCAAAATAGTTTCTATATCACATGGTATGGAGATATAAGCTATTTGTCAAGTAAGCAACCATAATTAGTATTATTTTTATATAGGTAAACTAAGTTTTCATATTTTGTTTACTGATTTCTATGAATCAGGATCCTTTTATGTTTAAATATTCAGTTTATTGGTCTTAAGTACATTGTTTTGCAACCATCATCACCATCCATTACCACTACTTTCTTATTTTTGAAAATTGAAACTCTGTTCCCGTTAAACAGTAACTCCTGATCCCCCTCTTCCAGCCCCTGGCAACTACCATTCTACATTTTCTCTCTATGAAATTTGACTACTTTAGATACCCAATCCATATTGTAGCATGTGTCAGGATGGTTTTTTTTTTTTTTTTTTTTTTTTTTTTTTTTTTTTTTTTTTTTTTTTTTTTTGTGGTTTTTTTTTTTTTTTTTTTTTTTTTTACTTTTAAGTTCCAGAATACATCTACAGAAAGTGCAGGTTTGTTACATAGGTATACATGTGCCATGGTGGTTTGCTGCACCTATCAACCCATCACCTAGGTTTTAAGCCCCGAATGCATTAGTTATTTGTCCTAATGCTCTCCTCCCCTTGCCCCCCACTCTGCGACAGGCCCCAGTGTGTGTTGTTCCCCTCCCTGTGTCCATGTGTTCTCATTGTTCAACTCCCACTTATGAATGAAAACATGCAGTGTTTGGTTTTCTGTTCCTGTGTTTGTTTGCTGAGGATGATGGCTTCCAGTTTCACCCAAGTCCCTGAAAAGGATATGATCTCATTCCTTTTCATGGCTGCATAGTATTCCATGGTATATATGTACCACATTTTCTTTATCTAGTCTATCACTGATGGGCATTTGGGCTGGTTCCATGTATTTAATATTGTAATTAGTGCTCCAATAAACATACATGTGCATGTGTCTTTATAGTAGAATGACTTGTATTTCTTTGGGTATATACCCAGTAATAGGATTGCTGGGTCAAATGGTATTTCTGGTTCTAGATCCTTGAGGAATACCCACTGTGTCTTCCACAATGGTTGAACTAATTTATATTCCCACCAACAGTGTAAAAGTGTTCCTATTTCTCCACAGCCTCACCACAATCTTCCTGACTTTTTAGTGATTGCCATTCTGACTGGTGTGAGATGGTATCACACTGTGGTCTTGATTTGCATGAACCAGGATTCTTAAAACTGAGGTCCATGAGTGGGATTCAAGAAGTCTATGAATCCTTACCCTAGAATTCTGAATGGGGGATTTTTCTAGAAAGAGTTCATAGCTTTTATCAGATTCTCAAAGGAGTTTGTACCCTGATATCAAGAATGGCTTGGGCCAGGCACAGTGGAGTTTAGACCCAAGAGTTTAGACCCACCGGGGCAACACAGGGAGACCCTGTCTCTAAAAATAAAAAATAAAAAAATTCGCCGAGTTTGGTGGTGCATACCTGTGGTGCCAGCTACTTGGGAGGCTGAGGTGGGAGGATCACGTGGGCCGAGGAGGTTGAAGCTGCAGTGAACATAATTTAAAAGGAAGAAGTAAAATTGTGTTTATCTACATACAATATGAACCTAAACAATCCTAAAGAATCTACAAAAATGCCAGCAGAACTAATAGGGTTACAGAATACAAGGTCAATATACAAAAACCAATGGTATTTCTATATGCTAGAAACAAACCATTTGTACTTGAATTTTAAAAATCACAACCACTTACAGTAACATCAAAAAGAACAAAACAGAAAATTAACAAAACATGTGCAAGCCTTGTACACTTAAAATGTCAAAACATTGGTAAGATGAAGACCTGGATAAAGTAGAGTACTATAACATGTCCATGGATTGGAAGAATCTATATCATTAAAATAATTATCCTCAAGGTGATCTAAATCTCAGTAAAAATCCCACCAGGTTTCTTTGTAGAATTGACAGGCTGACTCAACATCTACATGGAAATCCAAAGGAGTTACATGGTTAAAAGAATTTTGAAAAAGAAAAAAGAACTTATATGACCTGATTTCTAGACAATATAAAAGTACAGTAACCACTACAATGTGGTATTGTCATAAACACAGACTTATAAATTGATGGAACAGTGTAACGAGTCCAAAATAGGCTGAGCGATGTGGCTCACGCCTGTAATCCCAGCACTTTGGGAGGCTGAGGTGGGAAGATCAAGAGATTAGGAGATCGAGGCCATTCTTGCCACCATGGTGAAACCCTGTCTCTACTAAAAATACAAATATTAGCTGGGCGTGGCAGCATGCACCTGTAATCCCATCTACTCCGGAGGCTGAGGCAGGAGACTTGCTTGAACCCGGGAGGCTGCAGTGAGCCGAGATCACACCACTGCACACCAGCCTGGTGACAGAGCAAGACTGTCTCAAAGAAAAAAACAAAAGAGTCCAAAATAGATCTGTACATAGATAGCCTATCAATTTTTGGCAAAGGTCCCAAGGTAATTCAATGGAGAAAGGACAGCATTTTCTACAAATAATGCTGGAATAATAAATCCATAAGCAAAACAAATACAAAGATCAAAAAAATTCAACTCCTTACCCTACACAATTTAATTAATTGAAGCAAAATGGATCATAGACCTAAAAAGTAATAGTTACAATAATAAAACTTCTAGACAGAAACATAGGGACAGATCGTTGAGATCCTGAGTTCGGTGAATATTTTCTTAGGACTCAAAATGTACAAACTATAGAAGAAAAAATCAATTGTCATCAAAATGCAAAACTTCTTTTCTTCGAATGACACTGTCAAGAAAATAAAAAGACAAGACACACTGTAAAATATTTGCAAAACACCTATCTGATAAAGGACTTACATCTGGAATATATAGTCTTACACCTCAGTAATAATAATACAAACAATCTTATTTTTTAAATGGTCAAAAGATTTGAACAATTTACCGGAGAATATATATGAATGACATTAACGCAGGAAAAGATACTTGATATCATTAATCATCAGAACATTACATATTAAAAACACAATAAGATACCACAGCACACCTATTACAATGGCTAAAATTTAAAAGTTAGACCATACTAAATGCTGGTGAGGATGTGGAGCAACTGAAACTCTCATAATTACTTATCAGAATGCAAAATAGTACAGCCACTTTGGGAAACTGGAAATTTCTTATAAAGTGAAACATTTACATACCATATAATCCAACAATCTCACTCCTAAGTATTTACTCAAGAAAAATGACAATATGTGTCCACAAAAAGGCCCATATGTAAATGTGCATAACAACTTATAATAGTAAAAATGGGAAACAGTCCAAATGTCCATCAATGTGTAAATGTTTAAATAAATTGTATACTTTGTATAATATTTATACAATGAAATACTACTCCATAATAAAAACAAAGTAACTACTGCTACATAAAACCACATGGATGAATCTCAAAATCATTATGCTCAGTGAAAGAAACCAGACATAAAAGACTATATACTATACAATATATTCGATATGGCATTCTTTAAAAAGGAAAAATTATAGAGATGGAAAATAGATCAGTGGTTGCCAAGGATTGGGTGTGGGGATAGGGATTGAGTATAAAGGGCAGTGTAAGGGAATTTTAGGGATGATGAGACTGTTCTATATCTGTGGTGATGCTAAACAACTTGTTGCATTTGTTAAAAACCTACAGAAGTACGTATCAGTGAGCGAATTTTACTGTATGTAAATTTTAAGCTATTTACCAGTTGTGAGGGGTACTTAAAATGGAATGCAGACTATAACAAATGACTCTGTTATAGATGACTCACCTAACCATGCTGAAGGGAGTGAGGAAGCAAAAAGTCAACCTAAGTAACTTTGGAAAACTATTTTGGCTGAAAGTTGAAGGATGAAGACAGAAAGGTCTGTTCATAAACACTGTACTCTAGTTGGTAAATTTGTTCCTCAGAGGAGTTGAGTGAGCAATTCTAAAGCTACCTTATGTACGTACTAGCACTAAACAAATAAGCAAATATGTGGTAGATAATGAGTACCATTTCTGTGTCTCAGAAGGAAGTTATAAATAAGGAAAGGGGTGAAGGCAAGAATGGACCCTGCGATGCTGGATCAGAGTTGGAGGTAGCAGTAAAAATTCATGGATATTTTAAAATATATGTATAAATACCACTTGGTTGAGTTTTTTTTGAAATAAAAATAATAATAATAAATAGGCCAGGCATGGTGGCTCATGCCTGTAATCCCACCACTTTGGGAGGCTGAGGCAGGTGGATCACCTGAGGTCAGGAGTTCAAGACCAGCCTGGCCAACATCGTGAAACCTCATCTCTACTAAAAATACGAAAATTAGCCAGGTTTGGGGTACATGCCTGTAATCCCAGCTACTCGGGAGGCTAAGGCACAGGAATCACTTGAACTCAGGAGGTGGAGGTTACAGTGAGCCGAGATCGTACCACTACACTCCAGCTTGGGCAAAAAAAAAAAAAAAGAAAACGAAATTTTAAAAATATATGTAAAAGACAGAGTCAGAAACGTGTGTGTGTGTGTGTATGCATGAGTTAGTATCCACACATGGAACTTCTAGCTCTGTCTACTAAGAGAGCCCAGAAGCAGTCACTCCTCAATAGAAATGAGCGTACCTAGTACCCAGACCTTGGTTTCTAAAGACCTTTCTCCACTACAAAGGAATCAGGGCTCCTTGGAGAATTGATTGATTCCCAGAGAAGCAGCAAAATGAAACCTCTTAGACACTTCTTGGCTAGGTAACTCCCATCAGCCAAGAACAATCCTGATATGGGTATGCGTATGTGCTGTTAACAGTCAACATACTTAGCAGCTGGTAAAGATCTTGACAGGACACCAACAGCATCTGCTACAAGTACATTTTGGGGAGGTGACCCCAGGGAGCATTGGATGGGAGTGGGGCTAAACTTAGGCCAACTTAGGGCACTAAAATCATGAGTATCCCTGCTTATTTCCAGGCCCCTTCCAGGCAGTGTGTCAACAGGTAGAACAAGTGAGACTACCATGTTGACATTACCAGAATCAGTAGGAGAATAAAACAGTTCAGCATTACCCAGGAACTGAGCCTCTGAAGCAGGTCACTTGTATATCGTAGCCAGATCTCAAATGTCTTTTCCAAAGAAACATACTAAGCTTCTGATAACTAATTGCTTTATCTTGGGCATCCCTGTTTTCCCTACAGTGTCCAATAGGTTAGCTCAGGTCTCCAGTGACGTGTCAAGACTTGGGGCAATAGCAGTGTTCTAAATAGTAGGACACTGATAATATTGGCTCCTATGGCTCCTTCCCCTCCAAGAAGAGGATTCAATTTTTTAGAAATGCAGGGATTTTACAATTCACCTTCC